AACCCCAAGGAGCAGTAAAAAATATATTTTATCCCATCCCGTGCGCAAATTGATCCCGCATGTATGATGGTAATATGGGTACCTCTACTAATTAAAAAAGTAGCTGTCAGTCGTCAAAATCCCCTATCCCTCGTCTTTGCGCACACACTCGAATGCGACTTTTGATTCAGTTGGAGTAGCATTGAGGTCGTCGCTATGGCCAATACAAAACGAACGAGAGAATTCCTCGGAGCTTGGTGCTCCAATGTGGATAGTATCAACGTCATGTTGACTGGGACGCCCATTATGAAGGCCTAGTTCACGACTTACCGATCCCTGCCCTAATCCTCCATCAGCAACCGTTCATTCAGCAGCCTGGGGTGCCGCTAATCCACCATTGATACCTCTCCTCCAGCACAAGGGGCCGTCATCGTTCCGCCTCCTCACTCCTCGCTCAGAAACCTACCATAACTATGTGACCACCCGTGTCACAAGCCAATTGTCTGTCGGTCCTGCCGCGCCAACTGGTCTAGTGCGACAATCTAACTTTCTCTCTTGTTTTCGTTTCGTCTAACGAAGGAATTGTGTCACCGGTCCGAAAGTTCACGAGTGCAACTCGATTTTTCTGAAGAATATTTTTACTTATTATTATATCGGCCCAAAATGTGTACCGCCTTCGGTCGAAAAACTGGTGAATCACTTCACATATCAGTTTACCGCAAAGAAACCTATTCAGAGGTCATCCCACATTTTGAGTGTAGCCACCATGTTTCTCACAAACAGAGTACAGTCTATAGCCGCACGTATACACGAACATCAGCGGTGAACAGACGAGAGCATCTATCCCAGGTGGCCGTGCACACACTGGGCACAAATGTGCGTGGGAGAACACTCGCATTGTTGGCGCATGCCCAATAAGGCAAGGCCGTGAATTACTGGCAGCAATGCCCTCAGATGAGGCATGCATCAATTGGCATATGGATTTAAATATCACGTGAAGAATCCTCAGAGAAAAAGTAAACGGGAGGAGCTAAACTCGGAGAGGTAACAAGGGGAATTAACATGTATTGACACAGACGTTGACCAAAGATAGAATCCTGTTAGAGACAGTTAAGAAGTCAATTTTTTTGGACATTATCCATTGTCTGACGAGTTGGGGGACCAGGTTCGAGAATTTACGTGGTCAGAGTTTTAGCTTCCTAAAGAATTTCATCTTTCCCATTAAACTTTGGGATGCCCGTTTTCCAATTCCTCTGGGGAGAAGGATTTAATCATCTGAGGTTTCGTCTTCGCACTCGAGCACATCATCGGAGACGGGCCAAATGAGAAGTACATGGTTTAAATAGGCCATTCGCGCCCGTCCCTGATAGGTCGATTCCGCTCTCCTCTTATTGGCCTTCCTCTCGCGCGCAAGTGGTGCCTGATGGTCTCCCATGGCGCTGGTAGGTCAATACTGCGCTGGATCGAGGTGGCGTCTGATTACCAGGCCTTGGCCACATTGCTTTCGGCTCGGCCGAGCACTTGGGCACCGTCAAAGTCGAACACGTGATTATTTTCTAGACTGTGCATGGCCACGTGCGACCGTACATCCTTTCGCTTTACGGCTAAGGCGTGCTCATGCACGCGCGTGCGCAGTCGTTTGTCCGTCATGCCGCAGTAGTTGGCCAGACAGTCTAGATATTTGACGTCAAATGTCTACGTCTTCTTCCAGTTTAATACGCGAAGGAGGTTCAATATTCGGTTTTAAAAAAGCTCCTAGTTGTGAGATTTTTTTAATACCGTGAAGTGGCCGTTTACAAAACGTCATGTCTCTGCATTAACCCATATGGCTTGTAAAGTAAACAATATGCCTCAAATCCACGGCTAAATTTTATGGACCACATATGGTCTCCTCTTATGACCGTTGAGAGATGTATGGTTCTCCGTACGCGGAAAATATACGGCTTGCAGTTTGAAAACCTTGAATGCAAGTATAGCAGCAGGTAGGGTTCAACATTATTCGGGAATTGCAAAATTTTTTTGAAAACCGCATTATACCTTTCCTTTGTACCCAGTGAGCAAAAGAATGAATATTTTTGTTCATGTTTTACATGAAACAAAATTGAACTTTCAAGGTCATCGAAAATCAAGGAGCAAAATGCATGCTACGCAAGTAGTCGTTTTTTACAGAGTACAGTTTTTGCATGCAGCAGGAAAGAAGTTCGTTCGAAAGTCGGTACCCCGAGGTAACTGAATTATTATAGAATCATGCTGCATGATGACTAGTTCTACAACCCTACCTAATTAATCTTTTCGAAACGAAAACGCATTTCGGAATTTCGGTTGACATTTCATGAGTTAGCTCACCCACTGTATACATCAAAGGAGAGCCGACAGAGTCTAGAGGGGAGGTAGATTGATACAACACTGTCTCAGGCTTGTTTGCCTTCATTCAGCCAGTCACGAGTGAATATATATACATATATATTCACTAAGGAATGGGCGCACACCAATCCATTGACTTCCCGAAGCAAACAAGCTTCGTATGGGCGATCGGGGTCACGAACAAGCATCCAACCCCTAGACCGAAGATGGCCAAGCTCCGGTAGCAGAGGGGAGACGACAGAGTCTGAGGGGTGGATTGGTAGAGCACTGTTTCGGGCTTATTTGCCGTCATTCATCCAATCATAATCCTGACCACCAACTGGGACCGGAAACAAACATGTGCACAGACACAACTGGAGCAGCTGGTCTTAAGCACAAAAACATATCCTCGATACATACTACCATGGCTCAGTGAAGTCTTCACACGTGTTTTAGACCAAAATGCTTTCTTGATTCCTGTTTCACTAAAGCAACCCTTTCTCAGAGCAGACGGTTTTTTCCAAAAATCATTTCTTCCCTTCGAATACGGTAGCGTGAAAAACTCGCCAAGTGCTTATTCCTACTGACAACATCGGGATTGCAAATACTATGCAGACTAGATGACTTACTTAACGCATTCGAATAAGCAACCCTCTTAATGTCTCGAGGCACCCATTTCCGCATTTCGGGCAGTGATGCAGTTCCGGGGGTTCCAGTCCTGAAAAATTACCAGGTCGTTCCCTTCTGATTTTCTTGCTAATAAGTCAAGGCTGTGTACAACCGGCACATGTGGATGCGGTCCACACCTGTCCTCATCATGACCGAACATTCATCTCACACATCGGCCTGGTCGGTCACTTGTGAATCCATCGCATATAAACTGGCGAACCAGTGCCTGGGACACCAATCTACACCCGCTACATCCGCCTCAACTGCCCCCGCACATTCACTTACCGCATGGGCCCTCTAGGTCACATGCGTACGGACGAATTAACCGCGATATCGACACACCTAGCACTCTTGCATAAACAACATTCTTAGCTCAATAAACACCCCATCGTCTAGCGCGCGCCCGCCACCAACAGCCGTACCAAAACCACAACAACCGGCTCTGACGCCCCCCCCCGGCCAATCCTGCCCACACTGTCCCCGCACATGCACCTCCGGTGAACCAGTTTCAGGAGCACCAGCATACACCAGACGCATTCGCCTCAACTGGCCACATTGCCCCCGCACATTCAGTCACCGAATGAGCCTAATAGGCCACATGCGCATTCAAGAAGGCCTGCGGTAGACGGCCGCGGGCTACGCAACATCACACCTTTCTCCGCCAACACCTGCACCACACATCACCCAACAGCGCACAATGCATGCACTCACCTATCACTTAAGTGGGAAGTGTTTTTCTTGGCTCCTTCTCCATTCGGCTCCTTTGATCTGAGTCTGAGAATATCACGGCAGGCCGAGCGCCGTGGCTTGGAAGGCTGCCAACTCAATGACTGATTGGTTACCCAGTCTTTGAATGGTGATGGTCCAGGCAAATGAAAGGCTGTGTGTCACCCCTCTTGGCCTCAAGGATTGTAAGCGTGTGTTACGCCAGGATCTGTACACTATGAGCCTCGCAATCTGGTGTGCGCTTACTGTTTTGTGGCACCTGGTTCCCTGTCGGTAGATGCGCTTACGCTCCCGCTGGGTATACGGGACGTTATCTTGGTTGTCCAGTCATCCTCTTCTTCTGGCCCGTTGTGGTGCTATTGTAGTTGGTTAGAAGCCAGATCGTGTTTGTTGTGGACCAGGGGGTGCGGTGGTACACCTAGGTGCGGGTACGGCCGCACTAACCACCTGCGCTCCCCCTCACTTCCGGTCATCTTGACTACGTCTTAACACCGGGTCCCGGTGGGGGAGGGGGAGGTGCGGTAGATGCTGCGCAAGCCTGCTCCCACTATAGACTAATTCGCGTTCAAGTCACTGCACCTGCTCCACCTTGCTGTGGAACACACGGCAGACACCATCAGGACAAGATGCATACAACTTATGTAGCCTTTTCATCTACGGTTAGAGCTGCTCCGTTTGCGAACAGATCTGTGAACAGCACACTCAGGGTGACGTCTCTCGGTTGGGGTCGATAACGTCGGGCTCGGAGAACCCTGGGGCGTGGTCGACTGATGAGGTTGGATAAGTCGGGAATAATGGCCCGTTTTTTTCGTTCCCTCCCATTCTGACGGAGAATGCCTCTTTAAAAACCGACAAAGACTCTGAATGCGATGAAGTGGGTTTCAGATGCTGCACTTTCATGCCACAGTAGAGCTAACAGATCATGAGAAACGCACGGGGATGGCGTCGACGGTGGTCGTGTGGACCTTCATCACAATAGAAAAAGGTTAGTCCACCGGGGATGAAAATTACATATCAGTCTGTGGGGATGGCAAGGTGAGAAAACTAGAGTAAATAAAATATACATGCGCGGACGAGCATGCAAACTAGTGCACAAACCCCTCACGCAATATGCATGAGTAATCTCTAATCTGAGCTGAGCCAGTTGGTTCCAGGAATGTTTCTGGGTAAAAACTAAAATGGGCTCTGAATCGGTGATTTAGTGGGAAGGGTGAAAACTGAGGAACTTTATAAAATAAGGCAAACGTTGCCGGATACTGTTGACAACGGTATTTATTGACAGGCTAGGGGGACTGGTCGGGGACCGTCAGCTGCGAAGATTGCTGCAGAGACGGATGTACTTCCCCAGCAGAGCTCACAGTGGAACCGGTTCTCTTCATCTGCATACGTAGGGCCCGCCGACGGCGTCTAGCGATCCGTCTACGCTGCTCCTGGACAATGACCGGGATCATGACAAGGGCCGAGGCCACAATACCGGCACCGCCCACTGCGAAGGCAAGAGAGTCAGAGCCAGTAGAATCGATTATGAAACCTAAAAGCGAATGAGGGAAAAGGTATGAAAGCGTGAAAGAAGGACAGGAAGGTTAGGAAGGGCCCGCGACCTGTCCACATAAATCGCCTTATTGCTTCCGAGCGCTTTATACAACCATCATTATTAGGAAGTATGTTGTCTGTCTGGGATATGGTGACAGGGCGGAATCCCGAGTGGCCTATAGAAGACTCGTGGTCAACCACTTCGCACGCCCTTCGGCGTAGTCAGAGTACGGTTATCTTTGTCGTAGAATAAGTTGTGTTCGAAAGAAGTTTTTGGATTTTCGTCCTCCCTCTTGCCTTATCGGAAGGTTTTGTATTTTCCGAAATCCGGATGGATCGGCGCACGCCATAACAAAGTGGCACGATGGGGATTATCGAGGCAGAGCTACATTCTCGATGCGTCTAAACTGTCCCAAAATTCAGGTTTTATCTAGCCCCTGCATGTGGACAACCTTTCCCCCCCGGTCAAACATGTTGCTTTCTGTGAATGCAGACTAATTTTTGGCCAGCGGTATGTCCGTTGTCTAGAAGGAGTTTCTAGAAGGGGGTGCAGGACAATGAACTTTTGTATTATGGGTGACCTTGTGCTAAATTTCAGGGAGTGTTATGTTTAGAGGGCAGATTTAGGGCGGTTGGAATTAAGACAAAGGCTTTGAGGGTTGGAGCTAGGGGTGTGAGTTTAAAAGTTAGGACACAGGTACAAGTACCCCCCTGAATTTGGCGAAAGGCTACTCGTAATACCGGGATGCAAATTCCTGTGTCCGCATGGAGCTTTACGACAGAAAAGCAGGTAGATGTTTTTTCTGACACTATCAGCTCTTTAGACGGGCGATCGACTGGCCAAACTGCCATTAGTCTTTGCGTCAAGTCAATCTACCTACATCCAAATGTAGAGTAAGTGTGCGAACTCATGAAATGTTACCCGATATTCTTGAATGCGTTTTCGTTTCAAAAAGATTATTTGAGTAGGGATTTAAAATTAATCATTGTTTAGCATAATTGTATAATATTTCAGTTGTCGCGAGATGCTGACTTTTGAACGAATTTTTCCACGTCCGCATGTAGAAACCATACTCTGCACAAAACGACTACTCAGATAGCACGAACTGTTCTCATTGATTTTCGATGCCATTAAATTTCATGGAAAACGTGCTTACAAAATTCGTTCTTTTGTTCGCTAGTTAGAAAATTACGTCTTGTGGTAGATTTCTGGGAAGATTATGTTTAGAGCTAGTGTTACGGCAGTCGGGACTAGGGCAAAGGCCAAGGGGGTTAGTTTTAGGGTTATGAGTTTAAAAGTTAGGACACAAGAACAAGTATCCCCCGACTTTAGCAAAAGGCCACTCGTAGTACGGCGATGCAAATTCCTGTGTCAGCAGGGGGCTTCGTGACAGAAAAGTAAGTTATTGTTTTTTCTGACACTATCAGTTATTTAGCCGGTCGATCGACTGACCTAACTGGCATTTATCTTTGTTTTCTCCCAGTATAATTGCACCCTGTGAAATGCTTTTTAAATCTTATCATATGTTTTAAACTTAGATCTTGCTGCTTTAGTGTAGATTTTTCGGACATACTACAATGGGTGTGTACTTACAGTAGATGTGCTAACTCATGGAATGTTAACCGAAATTCTGAAATGCATTTCTAACTTCAAAAGATTACTTGAGCAGGGTTTTAATATTAATTACTGTGCAACATAATCCTAAGATATTTCAGTTACTACAGGATGCCGGCTTTTGTACAAACATTTTTCCGGTCGCATGCAAGAACTACACTATGTACAAAGTGATTACTTAAGTGGTATGAATTTTTCCCATTGATTTTTAATTCCCTTATATATTTAAATTTTTCATGGAAAGCCTGCATACAAATATCCATTCTTTTGATCATTTGGTAGAAATTACGCCTTTGAATTTTATACTTGAAGAAAGGGTATAATTTGGTTTAGAAGACTTTTCCGATTCCTGAATAATTTGAACCCGACCTGCCGTTACATCTGCATTCAAGATCACCAAACTACAAGCTGTATATTTTCTGTGCACGGAAAACCATACATTTCTATACGCTATTAAGAGGAGACCATATGGGGTTCATAAAATCTGGCAAAGGATTTGAGTTATACTGTAAACTTTACAAGGAACACTAGTAAATGAAGAGGCACGACGTTTTATGAACGGGCATTTCACAGTCTAAAAAATCACACAGTTAGAAACTTTTTCTAAAACCGAACTATACCCTTCCTACAAGTATAAAATTGAAAGGAGACGTAATTTCCTTCCAAATGAGTAAAAGAATGAGTATTTTGATGCGTGCTTTCTATTAAGCATGCTTGGATTTACAAAGACCGAAAATCAATGAGAAAAATTCATACCACTTAAGTAGTCGTTTTTTACGGAGTCCAGTTTTTGCAGGCGGCCGGAAATAAATTAGTTCAAAGGTCGGCATCCCGAAGGAACTGAAATATCGCGGGATTGTGCCGCACGGTAATTAATATTGCAACCATATTCATGTAATCTTCTCGAGTCGACGGCGCATGTTAGAATTTCGGTTGACATTTCATAGGTTAGCACATCTGCTGTATTTTCGTGAATGACCGTACGTATGTACTCGCAGCCGGTCCCACTGGCTTTACTCGACAGAGTTCCGGTGCGAATAACAAGCTGACATTTTAAAATGTCATTTAAAAGCGAAGGGATTACTTGCGTGGGGTTGCGATATGGAGAAACAGCAAACACGTGCTTACGTCGATTCTCAGGCAATTTGTTGGACTTCGTGAGGACTTCACCGGTCAGTTGGACGCTGTAGATCCAAAGCGTCCCGAACAATCATTTTCCATTACCATCAGAAAACAGTAAAATCGTAAGCGCAGTTGGCATGTTAGCCACGACGAGCGTAGACAGCGAGGCAGAAAACAGGTTTACAGTCAACTCTTGCTAACTTGGGTTCAGCAAGGTGAGAAAAGGCACGCTCGGCCCCATCGAGTTGGTCTCAAACCGGTAAACTGAGTGGACGAGGAATAGGCGAGAACCTGGTCAAGATGATCCTTCTAAGCGAACGCAGGACATGACTGTGAGCTCAGAGGGCATTCATTGCCACTAACAGGGTTTGCTTGGCGGCGCTTACATTTTAAACTCCGGAGTCGTCCGCACGATTTTGTTTAAGATGAACGACCACATGACAGACGTAGGGACTCATGAAAATGTGACTGGTGTGGTTTTTTAACTAAAAGAGTTCACAATTGTAACTGACGTTAAACATGCTTGCTTTGAATGAGTACTTCCACACCCTACCGCGTCAAATATACGAGCAAAAGCTCACTATCAACGACCTGTTTATTTTATCCGTCTACTTTCGAGGTGTGTATTTCTTAGGAACGATGATGGAGAGCCCGCACTATTGGCCTTGCGCCTAGTATTTACGTATTTATTGATCATGCTTTCGAAGTACACAGCGAGATCGACGTTTACGGTGATAGTTTGTGATTATCAGGGGCTCTTTTCACAAGGGCAGGAAGTTCAACGTTGCATGATAAATCATACAACATTAATGAGGTGAGATGCTTGTGTAGCTTCCACAAAATATAAGTGAGTTCATACTAACACAAAGAATTAACTTAAAAATACCATTACTTTTAGTGAGACGAGTGTTGCCTGCGCATGTGGTTCGGAAGAGGTCAATCAAAAACAAGTGTCTAATGTTGGATGACCTGAGGTACAGTAGATGTGCTAACTCATGAAATGTCAACCACAATTTCGAAATGCGTTCTCGTTTCGAAAAGATAAATTAAGTGGTGTTGTAGAACTAATCATGATGCAGCACAAATCCATAATGATCCAGTTACCTCGGGGTTTCGGCTTTCGAAAGAACTTATTTTCGGCTGCATGCAAGATCTATACTCTGCAAAAAATGACTACTTAAGTAACATGCAATTTTCTCATTGATTTTCGATGCCCTTGAAAATTCAATTATATTTCATGGAAAACATGCATCAAAATATTCATTCTTTTACTTATTCGGTAGAAAATCACAACTCCTTCCGATTTCATACTCAAAAGAAGGGTATAATTCGGTTTCAAAAAACTGTTCTAATTCCCGAATAATTTTGAAACCGACCTGCTGTTACACTTGCATTCAGGGTTTCAAAACTACAAGCTGCATATTTTCCGTGTACGGAAAACCATGCATTTCTCTACGGCGTAAAGAGGAGACCATATGAGGTTCATAAAATTAAGCAGTGGATTTGAGCAATATTGTTAACTTTACAAGCCATATTCGTAAATGCAGATACATGACGTTTCATGAACGGCCATTTAACGGTATTAAAAAATCTCACAATTAAAAACTTTATTAAAACTGAATTATACTCTTCTTTTGAGAATGAAATCGGAAGAAGACGTAATTTTCTACCGAATAAGTAAAGGAATGAATATTTGTATGCATGTTTTCCATGAAATATAATTAAATCTTCAAGGGCATCGAAAATCAATGAGAAAATTGCATACTACATAAGTAGTCATTTTTTGCAGAGTGTAGATCTTGCATGCAGCCGAAAATAAGTTCTTTCGAAAGCCTGAGGTAACTGGATCATTATAGATTTGTGCTGCATCATGATTAGTTTTACAACACTACTTACTTTATCTTTTCGAAACAAGAACGCATTTCGAAATTTTGGTTGACATTTCATGAGTTAGCACATCTACTGTATGTTCCATGACAAGCAGTATGCCTGACTCACTGAAGTAGTCTTTTTTTACTTGAAATCACACTTAAAAACTCTTTCTCTCTCACTCTAAAGAAGACTGGTTGAGCACCGGAACAGTTTTCATTTTGAGCTTCAGGACCCGTGCAAGAGTCCATCGTCAAGGATAGTAGCAACAACAAAACGAACTACAGTAAGAGGGGGTGATGGCCAATCACTGATCAATGACGAAAGGCTAGAGGTGACTGTGCAAGGCTTTGTACGTCAGCGCCAGATCGATAAATCGATTGACTGGGTTCTCGAGGCCCAGGCTTCAATCAGTTCTCGGTCTTTTTTATCTTCGGCGTGGATGATTATCTTGGTGGTTACGAACTCTTGACAGGTTTCGTAGGTGTGGGCAACTGCTTGTGATAATTCGTCGTCTTTTCACAAAACCAGTTTACGTTCACGTATGCGCGATTCTAGCATGCGTCCAGTCCGACCTGTGTAGCTACAAGGACTGTTTTGGCATGGGATGTGATACGCTACCCCGGATGGCTCCTCAAGATCTAACAGATCTTTTATTTTCATGGTCCTGCTGCGCATGGTGGCTTTGGGACAGTGTGCAATTCCAGCACATAGTTCCACAGCAACGCGCTCGTCGCTTCAAAAACGGTCTTAAGAGTGCAAGAGATAATGTCATATTCTTGGCGGTGTTTTCGTTTGAGTCCTCTACGGGTGGCCGCGTGGGCAGCGACATATAAATGCCCTCAGATAGTCATTTCGCAAAAACTGATCGCGAAGATTACGAGCCTCACGTGTTCTTCCCTCCGGTTTGCACTAATTAGCCTGGGTCCGTTTGAAGAACGTTTTCACACAAGTTCGTTTGTGAGCCACTGGATGGTTGCTGTGAAAACTGAGACGTTATGTGGTGTTCATTGTCTTCCTATAAACCGTCGTTTTAAGTTCATTGTTAAGATTTCGTCTGGAGGCCACATCAAGGAAGGACAACTGCTGCTCCCCTTCTTCTTCCCTCGGGGAGAACTGCATTGAGCAGGTTCTAGAAATTTTATTGCATATTCATCTTTATGGTAAAAAACGTGTCGTCTACGTGACGGCGCCAAAATACCAGTCCAGGCTGGATGAATGCAATCTTCTTTAACTCCTGTAGGACCCGTTCTGCCACATAAGCCGGAAGCCGGTAAGCGCATTGGAGTTCCCTTAATCTGCCCAAAAGTGAAGTAAATTTGTTGGCAAGCTGTTTCGGTGTTCGAGCAGTCCTCTCCTTTACCCATAGATACACTTGGAGCTCGAACTTTCGCCTCCATTCACGACCATTTAGTCTTTAATTATATGCGAATCCGCCGTGGTTGGCGACGGTGTCGCGGTGGTCAACTGAACACATAGGTCGTTGTGCTGAAAACAGAGCCTTAACGAATGTTTTGCCGGGAGGAGGGGGGTCTAGAGTTTGTGTGGCTGATGTAACAACTTGTTTAACTCTGCGCAGTTATCGCCCACTGACTGACGGCAGCGGAATGCAATCATTTGTGATGTCGATAACTTGCAACGTGGGATCAACTGCACACGTTGTGGGGGAGACCACCGAAAGTGTATTTTTTGATTGCCTTGGCTACTTTAACATCATACACGGTCCCCACATTTGCCTGCATATTAGCTGGTTGGCACAGTTCGTCGACTACCATACTTGCTTCGGTGACATGGTTCCGCATCCGTCAAAGGTTGCCCAAGCTCGCGATTTTTTGACACCAAATCCCAACTCTTAGTTGAAGGGATTCGTCCATACAGTAAGCTATTACTGCAGACTCATTGCTCATGCTGAAACAAACCTATTTTTCGGTTCGAGAAGTGCTTCCGTTTTGTCAACCAAGTATTTCTGAATGACATCGACAAACTCATGGTTCCTGCTGCCCATGAGATTCACGCATTCACACAGTGATGAGCAATCAGTGAGCATTCTCAGTGTGGCATGATGCGGCTACCGAGGTAAGATAAATTCGGCTGACCAGAAAACACGTGATATAAAGGTGTCAACAGGCTCGGGAGGTCGACGGGAGCGTGAGGGAGGGAGGCTGGCGTGAGGCAGACCCTGGGAAATCTGTCCCCACGACAAGTCCGCCCATTCCTCACTATGACAAATCTGATTCGCTGAAAGTCATGGCTTGGGAGGCTACCAACCGACAAGATAACGAGGACTGAGTCCGGATGCGGCAGATCCACCTAAATGCTGCCTTTATGATATTCCTGAGCATGAGATTCGAGCCCTCCTACTGAAGCCTGGTGCGTGTAATGAGGACCAGATTGTCTGTGGCACGAGAAGACCGGCTGTTTGGTTTTGTAAGCCACTGCGAACGCGCTCACTTCCGGTCGTCCCGACATTGTCTTGCCATCAGAATAAAGTGTGTGTGTGTGTGAGAGAGAAGAGGGAGTGAGACAGAGGCCTCACTGTAGACGAATTCACGCGCAAGTCAACAATGCTGCACTCACTCCGTGGGATACGCATCGGATGTCGTTGTTTGCGATGGCCGAAATGGCAAGTTTAAACACACCCAAGAGAGGTCACGTGCACATAGTTATTCGAATAACCAATGGAAATCGACAAAAGACAAGGGAATACATCCGACAACTCACCAATAAAGGGTGGTCCAAGGATCATTGCGATTCCCTGACAAAAAAGACAGAGACCGAGTCCACTCACTAGCCGACTTAGGCCGGCAAATTCGATGACGAAAATTGTGCAGAGCGAATCATTGGCGGCCATCGTAAATCCAAAGAAAACTAAAAAAAGAAAGTTATCTAAGGTAAATAATGCCACCAAAACTGCGTTGCAGTAGTACCGAGGACTCAAATCAACGCCACCCTGAAGTCCGCCGTTGCTGGCTTCTTTGCAGCTGTCGAGCACTTAGATGTAAACTTCAATATCCTTCACCGTAGCCAAGGGGATCTGAGTCTGTTCCTTAATAGGAACAGCTCTGACTTTAATGACTAGTGTCCAAGGAGCATGGGTTCCAGCCCAGACTCTTTTTGGCCTGACCGGTTTACGACGTCAGATGGCCGGAAATGGTCCATGTAATTCCCCCTACCTGTCTTGCAAACATTTCCCGAGTTTAAGTCTCCAAGTTCCTCCTTCAAAATAAGAAGGGAAGCTAATTCCTTGGACTGCCGAGTAAAATAGGCAGTTATACCGCCCTAGGTAGCTTCTCGTCCAAAATCCAAGCTACGTTCTCTTTGAAAAAATTGATATATTCCGGCATACTGATTTCAATCAGGATCCAACTGAAAACGAAGTTGTTAGCTAAGTATCATACCTTCGCCTTTCTATCTCTATACGAAGGTAATTACTCTTCTCAGAAAGAACTGGCGAAACATCCCTTGCTTGGACTAACAGAAGTTACAACCAAATTTATGGAGGCATAGGATACCCTGGGTTTAAAACTGTTTACACCGATGGACTCTGCAATAGTCTGTAAATCAAATCCGTTAACTAACTACACCCAGCGATAAAATCGTTCTGGATGTGTTTCCTCTATTACATATGGTAGTCCCTGAGGAAATAATTGCTGTTTGCGGAAAACCTCTACTTCTGACACAAAACCCGGGCTTTCAGATGTCCTAGATACTTCTAAAGTTGTCCAGTTCATTGGTTCATCAAGAATGCTTTCATAAACCCGAGAATATGGTCATGGACAGATAAGGAAGCACATCAAATGGTGCAATACTTTTGAAAAACTCGCATGTATTGCAGGTTTGAATAAGTTTGGAAATACCATACGCCCACCAGGCTAGGTATATGAAAGTTCCGACACGCGGTTCGTCAACTCTCTACCGCCATAAGATGCAACGGCGAGGGACTAGGCTCACCTGTGGAACCGCAAGGGGTCGGAGGTTCCTGGTAGTACTCTAGCTTCGAAAGTGTAATTAATTCGGTTGAACTTAGTGTTTGACTTTCCAGAGGAATCGCCGACGGGCCACTTTTGGGCTCGGCCGCATTGCAAAGACCTCCAAATCTGCACATCAATTTCAGTTTAGACTATAAACGCTATTGCGAAGAAAATTATTTTAGTCAAAGTGTCTTGCGTCACTAACACATATGAGGATGTAATTTCTCAAAAAACCGCCATTACTTCAAGGAAAAACAGTTCGCAAGACATCAAGCGCTTGGCTGGGAGTTATACATGGGCTGCTGTAGCCGCACTTGGCAGTCGTGCGTATAAATCGAGGTACCCTTCGCCGCTTACTGCAGCCCGAGTATTTGAGAGAGGGAAGACAAAGCAGCTGCCTGTTGTACAGATTTCGGTGAAATGCCCGTGTGTTAAGATGCAGGGGTTACCGTACAATTGCCTACAATTATTATTAGGGAGCGGGGAATGCCAACAACCTTTTATGAAAGGCAAAACATGCTAATTGAAAAACCCAAACTTACTGCTGTAACAAACAAGAGCTGGGAAGTTGGTTGCCAAGGGGACTAGCATCGTCGATACACCACAAACGAGAACACCACAGAAGTAGAGAAAAACGATATTGCACCATTCTTGGTCAGCAGTCCAGCCGAAGGCGATCTCCCCGACCATGTCAGAGGCTCCCATTATTGAGTAGAGAATTGCGGCCATTGTGTATGAAATGTCCTTTTGCACAGCATATATGGCCAGGAAAAAGTATGCCACGTTACACCAGAAGAAAAGTAACAGAGTGGAGAGTAGGAAGCTGCTAAATGGCATGCCCTTTAAGAGGCTGATATCTACAGCATAGGTAAAGTGACGCAACAGAGCGGTCCTGGTACGACGAAGGCAACTACGCTGGCAATGGAAGACATTGTGACCTGAGGCGTACGAGCTGCTCTTTTCAGAGCACGAGTCCCCCCTCTGGGTCGAAACAAGGTCAGGCATGCTGAGGGCTGCCCGCAAACGATCGACAGCTGACGAGCGAGACGCCACAGACTGATGAAACACAGAACGTTTTGTGCGCGAGTATAGCGGATGGAGGTGTGTGATTGAGTCACGAAAGGCTGCCAGACTATATTTGTGTTGTTGTGCCATTCGGGAGTCCTCGACGGCCGTAGTTGAAGAATTAACTCGATTGCTTTTGGGCTGGGACCCAATGTCGGTTCTGGTTGTTGCTGGCGGGTCATCGAGACAATTGGCCGGCTGATGCAACTGGTGTGGTTTGCACAATGAGTGCGGATTATTTGTGCGGAGCCGTCCCGAAGCTGTTAACGGCGGGTTTGGACAATGGAGCTCGGGTACGGATGAACCTAAAATCCCAGATTCTGCGCCGCCTGTGGAAGGGACGACTTCCCGAGGTTTTGAATTTTTCATACACACGAGCCGTTCGCAACTTGTCACGGCAAATACGTACTTTCCCATTGGCTCGTAACTCAAAAGCCGAAAACGTTTGCTCGGCCAGTCTTGATTTCTAAATTCATGTGCGGAAGGATAAGGGGGCCAAGTGCATCGTTTTGATTTGTGCAGGTCCTCGAGAAAATGAGATAGTTTTGAGTGGAGAAAACCGTTTGCAAATTTATCGCTGGAATCGGCACTTTGTACAGGTGGAGTTTGGTGGCTAGGCTCCTCCAAATGGATGGAACGCACGCCAGAAGGGCCTATATATGCTTCCTCCTCAGGTAAGGTTTCTAAAGTCACGTTTTGTATGCGCGACTTGCGCGCTACCCGTCTTTGGTAATCAGAGGAAGAAGTGCAATTTGAGCACAAGGCGTTTGAGGAACAGGACAATGACTGAGGCTGAGTCTCGGATTCCAATGAATTACGTCGGCGTTGATTTTCTGCCTGATTTTTTGATGGCTCACAGCCAGGCTTGACTAATGAAGAACTCGAAGATGAAGTAGAAGACTCCGGAAAAACGGGGCTCGTTAACAATTTTCTGAGCAAATGAATTCGCACATCCGTGCGCTCATCTTCGCTATTTAAGTAAACCTGGGGCAGTTTGAAGCCTGATTCTTTGGCGAAGTTCTCCATGCAGACAAGAAGTTGGCGTTTTTTCCTTTCTTTTCGGGTTTCTATAGGGCGCATGAGTGCACCGCATACAATGAGATTTGCAAATACACCAGAGAGAATTAGCATGGCACCTCGCCAGGTATATAGCGAAATGAGTCTCTCGACCAATGGGGCAAATATAAATGCTCCCACCCCAGAGCCTGCAATGGATAGGCCAGTAGCCGTAGCCCGCTGATCCTCGAAATAGAGAGACACAATGATGAGAGCTGCCGTAGATGAAAGACTGCAGCCAATCCCCGAAAGAACACCAAACGTCCAAATGAGTTGAAACAAGGTCCTGGAGAAGAAAGACATGGTGCAGCCAATGGCACTGACAAACCCCCCGATTATACACACACTGCGACAACCGAATTTGCTTATCAAAACGGACGCTAACGGTGCAGCCAGACAGGGGATTCCAAAAGCGAATGATCCCACCCAGGATGTCATGCTTAGTGTGACGTTAAAGTCTTCAAACAAGTCTTCAATAAAAATTCCAAAGGCAACGGGTACGCCGTCGGTTATAAGGTGAACGAAGAAGGCAGCTACCACGATAATCCAGCCCCAACCACCATCAGGTGGCTCTGGTGGAGCCAATGAACCGGAGGATGAAGTCGAGGAAGACGTCGTCACAGAGGAGAGATCGTCACAGGAAGAATAAATTGAGCTATCCGAACTTGATGATGAGGAACTCGGACTTTTAGACGGAGTCGACTCTACGTGATTGCGTAGAATTCGCTCATACATAAAGTGCACACGTCCACTCAGTTGAATCAAACTGTCTGAGCAACTGAGACCTTTCTTCAAATCCAAGGATGCGGAGTCATCCGACGCATCATTAAGATGCGTAAAATCTGGTCCACTCTTCTGTAGTGTTCTCTTTCTACCACTGAAATGAGGGGACTTAACATGAGGTTGATTTGCGTCCCCGAAAGCATTAACTGATGCTGATACGTGATGGAACCGCTGACGAACCAGATCAATGAAGGAACGTTCCGAAGAAACCTTACTGAAAACCCCGTTTTCCTGGAAGAAAACGCGGGACGGCGGTCCAGGGACGCATGGTGTGTTTTCTGTAGTCTCGTTGCCCGTGGGCAGGGCTTCCTCACAATGATCACCTGCGTCTTTTAAATTCATGTGCGGAAAGTGTCAAGGAGATAAATATAGTGGTAGTCGCGGAAAACGAGCCGGATAATAATCAACATCATAATAAAAGATCCTCACGCTGTTTCGGACGAGGCGAGGCACGCCCATGCACAAACGGCAAAGGGTTGCGCTCAGAAAAGAGCAATACCGCAGGTTCTTTTTATTATTTATAGGATAAATTTTTACTGGGCATTGACCTTGTGTTTACTACCAATCGCCCTGTGAAATTCGATTCATTTAAACGATAAATTTTGCGACTGACATTTATTATTTATTTGAAAAACGTATGCGACAAATCATTTTCGCAGTAATTGATTAAAAAAACCCCATTTCGAAATTCTCTCAATTTAATTTTCCAATTTGGGTCAAACTAGTAGGTCTCGACTTTTAAGCACCCATAAATTGGGATAGGGAAACGATCTCGAAAGTAGGGATATTGTCATTATTTCCATCCTTAAAGAATCACCCCACGATTCAGCTCCGACATGAAGTCCACCTTTTTCCATCCAGCATATGTTCCCGTTCTAAATCCTGGACCAACCGGGGATGTATAGTTCCTGTAAGTAGTGGTTGCAAATTGAAGTGCTATTTCCCTCAAATCTATCATAGAAGTCTTCGACGAGGTCAAAGACAATGATATCCACAGGACGGCACTAGATTGGGGATTTTGTCCCATTCTCCTGCGAGCAAGGACCATTTGTAAGACGTCAGTGAACACAGCAAAGGCCGTGTCGAGCAGCGTATAACAGGTTTCATTTAAGTTCAGTCCAGTGCACTATGGGAAACAGGCCTGAAAATATGTGTACCCTATTTGAAACGTAAAATTTAGTGCAGTGTGCGGAGAAGCCACGTATGTGAAACTAATGCACATCGGCGCATAATAGTAGGGAAAATTGGTCGTGAGTCTCAGGAGCTGCGATCGATCTCTCACCACTTTTGTTCATTTCCCAACATGAATATGTCAAGGATTCCTTTAAGGATTTCTGTCCATGCTGGCATTACAACATCTGTAGAAAATATTTCATGTTTTAATCACTCTGACAGAGAAGCAAAACTTCTGCACATTCAACCATACCTGTTGGATGCGCAGATTTAACAGGTGAACACGGAGGTTGGAAGTGCTAGCAAATTCAAAAAGTCCTCGAACACCAGGCCGCCGTCAAATCACTTCCCAATATAGAAAGCTTGTAAGAGAGCACCGCATAGTTGCCTACAACTCAAAGGGAAGAGGTTTGGATTTGTTAGATGGTTTATATAAGCAAAGGAGACGTGACCACTAAACGTTTTAGGACATCTTTACTTCTTGCATTACATAACTGATATCTCGATGGCAGTTAAACATTCTCAATCATTTATATGTGCCGATGATCTCAAATGTGTATATTCTTTCAGTACATCTACAACCCTTCATTGCCTGGAGCAAATTCATGCTGACTTGCCTCCTCTCTCAGCTTGGGGCTCAAAATCGCTAATGGAATTCTCTCCACGTAAACGTCGCTATATGTGTTTTGGACCTGATAGGCTACCCCAACCAGTGGTCTTTCAAGGCACACATACGGCTGAATGTAACACCACCAAGGATTTAGGTTTAAGCTATACAAATAATCTT